GGGGGGGGGGGAGCCAACTCACGCTCGACCGACTCGACGACGCCTTCCTCCTGGTTCTGGCCGATGGTAAAGTAGACTGCACACTCCCACGTTTCCGGCCATTAGGCGCTTGCAATTACGTCTTGCCGTCATGTCGAGGGCTTACCTCGGTCTCCTCCTGTCCATCGACGAGCAGAGTTCAAGACGATTAGCCAGAGTCTCGTGACAACGACTGATTCGACGACTTACGCTTGCAGTGCTGCATGATTGGATTGCAAAAAAGTGATCAGCTGGTGTTGTGAGGTTCGAGTTGGACTGTCAAAAGTGTGCGGGTTGTGAGGGAAAAGGGAGAGGGCGGGGCTGAGAGGCGGATTATTTATACGCGACACAAGACGATGCGCAACGAGGCGCGGTCGAGCCCCCCTGCACTGGAGCAGCCAAGCCATGGTCGAGCTGTCGGGGCCGAGCTGCTGAGCATGAATTGGAGCTCGAGGTGCGCATTGGCAGCGACTCAGCCTTGGCTGTAGCGCAAAGGCGGCGGGAAGCGCGGGCCATGGCGCGGTGAGTCAACACGATCGTGTCGGAAAGGCCGAATCACTCACTACAAGTCACTGGCTAAGGAGTTGGAGCTCTCCCTGAAAAAAAAGAAAAAGAGGGCGCCACCCACTCAAGCCAATGCCGTCGCTTTCTCCCGCGCTCCTACTCACTCTCTCTACTCTCTGCCACGGCGGTTGCCTCTGCGCGCTCAGCTCACTCCGACCTAGCCAAGTCGGCACATACACGCGCATGCCAAGCGGGTGCGGTAGTTGTACATTTTCTTCAAGCCCATCGCTCTAGTGAGTCTAGAGGCGGCTGTGACTGAGCGCGCGCTACTTTGCGGCGTTGACCTCGATGATGCGACGGCCACGGCTGCGCTCAATGTCGAGGCGGCTACGCATGCCGCGACCCTTGTCCTTGCGGCGCATCTGGCCGCCGATGCCATCGCCCATGCCGAGCGGCGCGGCACCGCCCCAGAGGATCTGCAGCGTCGCCTTAACCACGTTGACCGGGTTGGTGGAGCCCTGGATGGAAGCCGAGAGGTCCGTGATGCCGACGGAGCGGCAGATGGCGTGGATGACGGGCGGGACGCGCAGGCCAAAGCCGGCGGGACGCGGACGCAAGACGACCGTGCTGGCGCCCCACTTGGCCTCGAGCTGCGTCTCGATGGTGCGCGAGCCGTCGGAGCCCTTGTGGACGGCGACGCTGTCGAGCGTCTTGACGGCCTCGTGGAAGGCCTTGCGTCCGGCCTTGGAGGCGTTGGTGTCCTTGCCCTCGCCGTAGCCGACGAGGCCGTTGCCGTTGCCGGCGATGACGAGCGCATACATGCTGGCGTCCTTGCCCTTGGTGGTCATGTGCACGACGCGCTTGAGCACGATGGCGTGGCGGTGCAGGTCGCGCACCTCGCGCACCGACAGCGGCGTCACGGTGGAGAGGTACTGCTCCGAGTTGACCTCGTCCGCGTCCGAGCCCGACGAGAGCACCAGCGAGTCGGCCGAGGGCGGCGTGGGCTCAAACATGCGCGGCTCGTTGAAAAAGGTCACGCTCGACGGATAGGGCATCGAGGTGGTGGGCTTGTTGCGCATCACGTTGGACGGATGCGCATCCAGCACCGGATCGGCAAAGTGGAGCAGCGACGGGAAGCCACGCAGCGTGCTCGAGGGGAAGCCGATGGGCATGGGCTTATCCAGCAGCGGCGACGATGCGGGGATGGTCTTGACGGCCTTGGACGGTTTGGCGGGCGCCGCCGAGGATGCGCGCGGTGCTGGTGCTGACGAAGACGAGGAGGAGGAGGATGGTGATGGTGAAGACGACGGCTGCGACGGGGAAGATGCGGACCAAGTAGAGGACGACTGGGCGTTGGAGGCGGAGGCAGACGTCGATAGACAGCGCGAGCGTATCGATGCCGAACCACGGTGTGCCGAGGTGGAAGCATGCGCCGACGAAAGGTTGCGCAACAGACCAGCGACGCCGGTGCGGCAGCTCTGAGAGGATGCCATGGTGCCAGAGTACGTGATCGAAGTAAGATGCGTCCGACTAGTAGAGAGCGAAGCTGGAAGTCGTCGTGAGCTGCTGCCGATGCACGAGTCCAAATCGGAGCGACGTAGAGTGGGTGGTGACTAGAGCTGGTCGGAAGGTGAGGTTGGTTCGGCCTGACTTGAGGTCGGCGCCGAGGGAGGATTAGGGCTGAGAAGACTCGAAGGAAAATCGCCAGCCGATCAGCTGGATGGCAGGCGCGCGGGCACACGGAAGGCAGGACCGAGTCTCGTGAGCGGGCGGCGCAAGAAAAAATCAGGCCGGGTCTTACCTGGTTGTGCTGTGACTAAGCGTGACTAAGCGTGTCCAAGCATCTCGGCGATTTTGGAGGCTGCGTGCCTATGACGCCCTTCTGCCGCCCACGCGCATGGCTGCCGCTCTACAGCGGCAGTCAGGCAGAGACGCAAAAATGGCACCAACTCTCCGGACTCGTGCTGCTGCTGCTGTCTCGGCCTCGTCCGACCGCCCGCCCTCGCCCCGGAAGCCAGCTCCACTCGGCCGCGTCGTACCAGCAAATGGCAATCCATCGCCTCTCTCCACCCATCCTCCTTCCTTCACCTCCATCACCCCGTCTGCCCATTCTTCAGGGTGGCATCTCGCATCAGTCCTCTTTCGGTCGGCAATTGGCGCCGCTCTGGTCACGCTGCTTTTCTCGGTCACGGTTCGCCTTGGGTCTTTTCGGTCACACCCCCTCGTCAGTCCTCGTTTCGTCTCATACCCGCCCTTTCTGATCTCCGCAAGATCCTAGACAAGTCCTAGCTTCAGCGCCTCTCTACGCAGTCACCACCGCCCGCATCAGCTCAGCTCACGGAAGCGGCAATCACCTCGTACACCTCTTGCGCGCATCATGTCCGCCAATCCTGCCAGCGACGCTTCGGATGCCGCTTCCGCCACACCATCCCACTCGGTCTCGTCCCCCTTCTCCCCTCACGCCGCCGCCTTTGGCCCATCCACACCGCTCAACCTCGGCGCCTCCAACCGCCTCCACGGCTTGAGCTCCGACGGCCACTCGCTCAGCAGTCGCGCCAGCTCCTTTGCTTCCAGTCACGGTCGTGCCCTTTCTCCCGCCGCCAAGGCCGCCTCTCCCTTTGCCAATGCGGAAAACAGCCACACCTCCGCTGCCTTCTATGGCTTCGGCGATCGCCTTCGCGACGCCACCGACCATTCCCGTCAAAGCAGTGGCGGCGCTCACAACAACCTGAGCGCAACTTCTCCCGCCACTCCTTCCCTCCTTTCAGGCTCGGCTGCCTCTCGCTGCGCTCCGTCGCCCTCGCCACGCTCCCTTGCCGCCGGCGCAGACTCCACCTACCCGTCCACCGACTTCTTGGGCCAATCGCAATCGTCGCTCCCCGATGCACGCTCCCCAAACTCGCTCGTACCGCCGTCAGCTGCAAGCGACCTTCAGCGCCGCTTCTCCTCATCGTTTGGCGCTCAAGGTGATGCAGCTTCACCCACGCTGCTAGACGCTCCGACCAACGGCGCTCGTCCGCCGTTTGGTCGCCAATCTTTCTCAGATGGCCCTGCAGCCTCGGATCACCAGCACTCGGCAGAGATCACGTCGGCCCTCATGGAATCGCATCACAGCTCATCTTCCGGCGGCTTCCCCACCGCCACACACCCCGCCAATCTGCACAACCTCTCCGACCCCGCTTCCCTTCGGCCCGATCCATCTTTGCCGCTACCCGCCGCCGCGCCCACTCCCACGACAGGTCCCCTCTCGGCTTCCGATCCGCGCACACAGCTCCTCGTGTCCAATCTTCCTTACCGCGTCCGGTGGCAGGACCTTAAGGATCTCTTCCGCAAGGCTGGCACCGTCCTCCGTGCCGATGTGTCCCTCAGCGCAGACAACCGCAGTCGCGGCTACGGCACCGTCCTCATGGCCACCGAGCAAGACGCCATCAAGGCCGCCGACATGCTCGGAGGCTTCACCTGGCAAGGCAGGACCCTCGACGTTCGCGTCGACCGCAGCGGCACCCTCGTCGGTGTCGCTGGTAGCGCCGCCATGCCCACCATCGCTCCCAACAACCTCCGGGCCAACGCCAACGCTATGCCAGCCATGCTCGGCAACTACGCCAACGGCCACTCTCCCATGGCGCACGCCCTCGATCAATCCGCCAATCAGCCCTTCCTCGGCATACCCTCGGGCTCCTTTTCTGGAGGCGCCTCTCCGTCCGCCCTCTCCCCGCTTGCACGCGCAGCTGCCGCCGACGCATCCCAGCCAATGTCGACGCGCTCCTCGTTCTCGGCGCACAATTCAAATGCACAACCCACCGAGTTCGAGCGAGCCATGCTGCACGGCGCCTCCAACGGCGGCGCTGCCAGACATGGCGCCCCTTACGACCACAACTTTGCAGGTGCAGCCCAGCATCGCGCCGTATCCTCGCTTCAGTCCATGGCAGCATCGCGCCGCGGATCCGAAGTTGGCCTAGGCATGGGCACCTCCCCGTCTTCCGGCGGCTGGCCTGCTGGCTCCAACGACGCCTCGGGTGGCATGCTTGCGCAGAATGCCGGTGGCTCATCGGTGCCCACGGGCTTTCCCGGCGCCACCGCCATGGCTCCGTGGCCAGCGGGTCCCGCCGCGTTGGCAGGCAACGCTGTGGCATCCATGCAGTCGCAGCCGTTCGCTCCGCACGTGCCCACCACCTCGTACGCCGGCCGCGTCCTCTTTGTCGGCAACCTGCCCTTCCACTGCCAGTGGCAGGATCTCAAGGACCTCTTTCGCGCCGCCGGCAACATCCAGCGCGCTGACGTCGCCATTGGGCCGGACGGCCGCAGTCGCGGATTCGGCACCGTGCTCTTCGCCTCGCAAGAGGATGCGCAGAACGCTGTGCGTCTCTATCATGGCTACGAGTACAGCGGCCGCACGCTCAAGGTCCACTTTGACCGCTTTGCCGCACAGAACGGGCCTGCCATCGGCACCCCGGGCAATCCGGCGCAGTACACCGGTGCGTTTGCGGCTGCAGCTCTGCCTTCGCACATGACCAACAACGTGCGTGCCCCGTCCATCCCTGCGCCTCCCCTGCATGGCATGCAGACGTCGTATGCGCAGAATGCCATGATTCAGCATCAACAGCAGCAGCGCGCAGGTGCAGCCTCCGGCTTTTCGCAATATCCAGCTCAAGGCGCGTTCGGCGGCTATCATCCAGCGGATGCCTCCGCTCGCGCGTTTGCGCAGCAGCAATCCTCTCTCCTTTACCCCCAGCAACAAGCTCAGCAGGCGCCGCAACAGCAATATGGCCAGCAGCTGCAGCAACAGCAGCATCGTGCGTCGTTTTCCGGCTTCGCCGATGCCGGCAACGATGCAGCATCGTCTTCCATGTCGGCGTTTGGTGCGGACGATCTCGCGTCTGCGGAACGACAGTCCAACACGAGGCAGTTCGGGCTCTTCTCGCAAGCCAGCGAGGCCGAGGCGGACAAGGGGGAGGGTCGGGACGAAGACTACGGCATGACGATCTCGATGCCGGCGAGCGGCTTCGGGGCTGCGTCTTCGTATCTGCCTTCGGACCTCATGTCACCCGGTCTGGTTTCGCCGCCGGCGATGGCGCAGGGCAACGCGCATCCGGGGCGAATCCAGCTTCCCACGACGCAGTTCGGCAGCTTTGGTGGTGGTGCGGAGGGGAACCGGTCGGATGGACGCATGCAGGTGCCCATGACACCGGGCATGCCCGGGTTTACGTTCAACCCGGTGCCCGAGACGCCGCCTTTGTATCCGCAGTTTCTCAGCCCGGGATTGGGGCCGTTTAGTCCGACCGTTGGTGGGTCGTCGCACGCCGATGTGCAGGCGGGGCAGATGCAAGGCGCCAACATGGCTGCGTTTATGAATGCAGCCCCTGGCGCACCTGTGCATGCGCACATGGGCGGTGCAAGTGGTTACAATCCCATGTTCCCATCGGCGTACGCAGGCACGTATGCTGGACAGCAACAGCCCGCTACGCCGCACTGGTCGCAGACGGCTGGACCGCGTAGGTTCATTGCAGAGCGCGGATCGACGGTGGCGCACGAGGCGGATGAAGTTGTTGACGATGCACGTGCAGGGATTGCCAAGACACCCGGTGCGGGGCCACGACGACCGTCGCATGTGGCGATGGACCATCGCGGTACCGACGAGGCCAAGCGTCGCGCGTCGGACGGTACACCGGGTGCAGAGATGGACGGATATCCGTTCCCCATGGTCGCATCGGGTGCAATGGGTCGACGCGCCTCGACCAACTCTGCGGCCGGAACACCTTTAGGCGCACCTGGGCGGACGGAGGTGCCAGTGCAAGCTGAGCTCGGTGGGAGTGCCGAGGAACTTGCCAACACCATCGCGCGGCTGAGCGTCAAGGGTACCGCACTGGCCAAGGAGAGCTCGAGGAGGAGCGTGAGTATGACCGCTGAGCGCAGTGCTGCTTCGGCGGCGATGGCTAAGCTGCGTGGAAAGGCCGAGGCACTGCCTCAGGACGACGAAGCGAAGCTGGGCGCTCCGTTTGCGGATGCAGATGCAGGACCTACAGCAACGGCAGAGGAAGCGTACGAACGGCTGTTGGGGCTCAAGGTGTCCAACTCTGCCCTGGAGCAGGCGCGCAATGGGTCCGCGCTGGATACGGGCTCAGAGGCAGGAGAGAGCAGGAAAAGTACACCGCGGGATGAAGCAGGACCCACGGCCAAGTGAAGTTTAAGGATTTAGCAATTTGCTTTGGGCATCGTCGCAACATTTTAGATTAGAATGCGTATCTGTATACCATCAATGCGGTGCGTGGAAGAGAGGTTCATGTGTCGGGTAGCGAGAGCAGTTGAGAGACGGGTCAGAGCGGGCCACAGCAGGTCGTGACCATTCACGCTGCGTCGAGCTCAGCAGACAGGGGCGTCGGATCAAGCAGGTAATCACCTCAAAGCGTGGCCAATGCCCTTGACCAGCATCTGCTTGCTCACACTTGACACAGTCAAGACACAGCATCACAAGCCTCTCACCCAGAGTGCAAGATTGATGGTCATTGCTCGTGAGCAGGCAGGCGCGATACGCGCTTCACCGCCGCAGCCGAGCTACTTGCGCCGAGTCGAGATAGGCGTTCTGCAGGCCAACCAGCAGTGGCTGGCCAAGTCGCTTCTGAAACGCAGCCAACGCAGCCCTTCGCGCGGCCATCTGCTTGTAGAACGCCGCGGACCTCACCGTTTGATTGGAATCGGGTTGCAGCTGGGCGTACCGCTCGCGCACAAGCTCGTGCTGCTGCACCAGCGCAGCCTCCTTTGCACCCAGCGCTGCACCGTTGGTGCGCACAGTATGCGCCGCACTCGCACTGCGCACCGCATGCGTCTCGCGCGGAGGCGGTAGCGGCAACCCCCTCCCCCCGCGCCGAGTGTAGTTCGGCAGCGTCACGGTCCCACGTACGCGCCCAAAGGTGTCGTACACCACAATCGGCGCATCCTCGTCGCTCTCCACGTCCGATGCAGAGTGTCGCGAGGGATCGGACGCACTCGACGCGTCCGATGCATCCGAATCCCGACGTCGCCGTTTTCGCGAGGTGCGCCCACTCTCGCCTGCACCCGAAGGCACAGCGTCACGTCGAGGATTGCGGTAGGTATGGCCGTACCACCCGTGCAGACCGCGCAGGCCAAGCTGGATCTCAAGAATCGCATGCAGCGCATCCGTGTCCTCCTCCTGCGTCGTCTGCTGCTCGCCCTCACCAGCCACAGCCGCATCGTGCCGCGACACAAGCTGGCCGACGTCAAAGCGCGCGATCGTGTCGTAGTCAAACTGCTCCTCCACGGCCGTCTCTGCATTGTCGGCCACCAGGTACGCCGGGACCGAGGTTTGCGCGCCGTCCCAGCGCCGCAGACGCACCTGCTCGACCGGCTCGGGTGCAGGGCCAGAGATCGAGGTCGAGGGATGTTGCGACCACGACTGGTGCGAATCGGGCATCGGCTCGGAGCCAAACACGCCCGAGCTCGCCGAGGGCAACGGAGCGGCACGCGGGAACAGCCGCGTCGCCGCACCCTGCACCGACGCAGACACGTCCGAGAGCGACATGCTCACGTCTCGCTGCCCCGCCGCCGCACCGGGCAGCAGCATCGGCCGGGAAGGCCCGCGTCCAAGGTGCGAGAAGCTCGACTCGGGCACCATCGTCCGCGCGTGTGCGCCTGCACGCGCAGGAACGGCGCCGGGGACGGGCGCACGAGACGGTGCCGCGAGCATGTTGGCTGGAGTCATGGCAGCCTCTGCCGGCGTGGTGGAGAAGGACACCACGCGCCGATTCGGCACATCGCCTGCAGCCGCTCCTGTCGATGCTGCTGCGATCGGATCGGGACGTGCGGAGCGCTGTTGGCGCGTGCGGCGCTCGGCTGCCAGCGCCGCTGTTTCGAGCGTGGCCGGCGACGGTGGTTGGGCCATGGCGGTGGCGGCCGCAACAGCCGTAGTGGCGCGTGCTGGCCGAACAGGTGTTTGCGGTGCGGCGAAGAAAGCGGCATCGGAAGTCTGCCGTGTCTGAACAGCAGCATCGGGTCGACCAGCATTGAAGAGCAGAGGCCCGGGACGAATGGAAGGCATCCCTTCGGGGCGCACCCTCGCTGCGGCCGGACCAAAGCTGAACGAGCCCGAGATCGAGGTCGAGGCCGAGGCTGAATTGTCGAGATCAAAGTGGCCCAGACTGGCGCCGAAGGTATGGGGTGGCCGTGCGAAGAGGTTTCCGTGCGGAATGGGTCTGGGCGCAGGTGCTGCGAACAATCCCGACGGTGCGCGTGCTGGCCCGGGTGGGAATGCGCTGGTTTGCGAGAAAGTGCCTGCGCCTCGAGTCGGAGCCTGCTGCGCTGGTCGCTGAATACGAGGTGGCTCCGCGAGCATTGAGCGAGGGTCGTTCGGAAGCGCCGCGTCGGGAGTGGCAGCAAAGGCGTAGGCATCCAGCAAGCCAGCAGAGGAGGGTGTGATGGGCAGGTCCGGCACATCACGCGTGATGGGGGCGTGTGCACGTCCAAGGCGCGGCTGCATGCTACGGTGCGGCCCTCGTAGGCTGTCTTCGACGCCCATGTCGTCGTCCGAGGCGCCAGCGTCGAATCCATCCCCCCTCATGCGCCAGTTCGGGGCCGCACCTCCCGTATTTCGCGACATGCCGACGCCTGGCGTGGGAGCAGCCGCCTCGTTTCCTTCGCTGACTGAAGGGCGGCCGAGATGTGACCTTCTACCCGAGGTCGGGATCGCAGATGGCTGGGATTGCGGAAGCGGCAAAGCCGATAGATGAGGCGAGGTTGCGTTGGTCAGAGTTGTGAGAAGCCAAGTCGAATGTGGCCGTTGCATTTCCACTCGAGCCTGCAGCCAGCTGCATGCACGCAGAGAGAACAACACCCCTTCTCAGCCAGCCACGAGCAGCAGCCCCGGACGCGCCTCGTGAAATCACGCCGCAAAATCTGGGCGCAGCAGCACCCTTTTCCATCACCACAGCAATTCACCTCCACGGAAAGCTCGCACATCGCCTCATACCTGCCAGAGAAGAATAGTGCATCGAGCCGATGTGTAAAGATAGCTTGACCCTATGCAACTAAAACTACAGCTATGGAGGCAGGAAGGCGCCCTGTTTGCGCTTGGTCCAGCGCTCCTTGCCCAGCAGCAGCTGCTCGGAATCTTGGGCCGCCGCCACCAGATCCGCCAGAAGCGCGACGGGGATGTTCTCCATCCTTTCCTGCGCCTCGGCTTTCGCCAACGCCTTGGTGACCGTTTTGATCTTCTTCTTGAGCACTTCTGCTTCCTGCTTGAACTCCTGCACCTGCTTGGCCATCAGCGCTTCCGGGTCTTCCTTCTTGGGTGCTTTCTTGCCTCGACGTTCGCGCTTCTTTGGCGCGGACGGCTTGGCCTCAGCCTGGTCATTGGACGACTGTTCCCTTGACGCCTCAATGGCACCTTGGTCTTTCAGAAGACGCTCGATCTTCTTCAGATCCGCCTCCATCTGGCGCAGCTGGCCCTCGGACTCGATCTTGTCTGCGTCCTGACCATCCCAAATTTTGCGCTTCGCCTGGAATGGGCCGCGCGGAGGCTTGTTGCTCGGCGTAAGGAAGCCGACCCTCATGTGGCTCTGGTTGACCATCGCGTCGCCGTCGAGATCCGTCAGCGCGTCGCGGAGGTCGATGCCATCCGCACCGTCCATGTCGCCGTCGGGTGCAGACGTGTTGTCCAGTCGGCCCAGCACACGCGCCAGCGAAGAGAGCTTCGTCGTCTTTCGTGTTGCGCCCCTCTCGCCAAACCGCTTGCCTGTCTGCATTTGCGTATGCGGCGAAAGATGGTGGTACGTCAGCGACGATAGATTGGCCACCACCCGGTGCGGCAGCCGAGCCATTCGATTCGCCTTGCTCGCTGCCGGTCGCTTTGTCTCTTCTGGACTGCCATCCGGTGCGGCAATGTCGTTGTGGAAGGACAGTCTGGTTCGGGGCGCAGCAGCACCACTCGGCAACAGCGACGACGACAAATGAAGCGCAAGCGTATTGCGCGTCCTCGTGCCTAGCGACTCCCAGGCTGCCGGCTGTTGCTGGCTCGTAGCGGATGTCGCGGCGAATTCATCTCGGAGGTAGCGCCGTGTGTTGCTCGCTGCAGGCCGGCTGAAGCGGACCGCAGCAGCCGACGAGCGGAGCAGCGCGCGGTACAGCTGCTGCCACGACTCGGTCTTGCGTGCCTGAGCCATGCTCAGTCCATTCCGCGCGCAACGTTGGCACCGCGCTCAGTGCCACAGCCGATCTAGGCGTTGTGTGCGGCCGACGCCTGCGCGCTCCTCTCCACTCTCTTGAAACCGCCAGAGAGATGTAGAGCGTAGCAGGGTCTTTGTGGACGGAGTTGCTCGGGTCGTCGGTGTTGCGGCAGGTATAGGAGTTGAAGGAGGCTCTGCGAGGGGACCCTGCAGGATCTTCTTCTTCCGACCCCAGAGGTGGAGGTGCAACCTCAAAAAAATTCGCGCTTTCTAGCAAAGCTGAGGCCTAACAGGCCGGAGATTTTTCCACACCCGTTCGCCTCTTCTTGGAACATGCTCGTACCATTCAGCCTCGGCGACTTTTCTCCGATGCGACTGATGAAGTCGAGCGTCACCACGTCAGCTCTGCTCTAGCCCTCCAGTCGTACAATATCGCAACTCGGAGGTGGCGTCCGAGCTTGCCCGCCCACCATCCAGCCAGAGGCAACCACAATGCCCGTCGCCTGTACACAGATGAGAAGAACATTCGTACGGACTTGCCTCCTATCCCACTCCTCCTTGTCATTGTTGGACCCAATGCAGGGAGATGCCGCGGTTCTGCGGAGGCTTGGCATGATGTGCCGAGGCGCAGGTCACAACCAAGGCTTTCTTTCAGCGCCACTGACAGCACAGCGAAACTTGCGGAAAGGAGAGCCACTTCAAGGAACGAGAGATCTGTCGAAATCTGGGATGCGAGGGGCTGGTTCTTGGTATGCAGAGTTTCCCGCTGGATCTGTGGTGAAAGTGTGGCGCGCGCGTTTTGATGGCACCTTGATGGCGACAAAAAAAAATTGCATTGTGAACGATGCCGGTGCGAGGAGGCATAGCGTATACGACAGAATCACTAAGTCACACCGTTCCACACAGATCAACATGACGATTGTCCAGGCGCACAGGGCACGGATCGCTTCATGGCTACCACTCGACGCCTGCATTGTTGGCCAGCACACGGATGGCGTCCATTTCAGCCGACACCAAAACGCCAACGTTCGAAAGGCGGAACAACAGGCGTACAATGTACGGCTCAATTCAATCTTTCGTCCCGAATGCTAAAGGTAGAGATCTGCTCGAAGTGAGGTAGGGTCAGAGAGGACTGTTGCAGCTGGAATTGAGAGCGACATGAAACGTTGCCATGCAAAACGGTCCAAGCTCCTCGTTTTTGTTTGCATCCAATGGCGCTCCGTCCAATGAGTCAAAGCGCCACAACCAATCCCTTGCACTACTTTGCCCCCGCACCATTCTCTCCACCTCACGCCGATCAGCGATAGCAAATCGCACCGCAAGTACGATAAGCAAGGATGACATCGAAGATGTGTGTGTGCAAGTATGATATAGACGAGAATCGGTTGTTGAGATGGCGGAAGCGGTTCGGATCTAAGACTGCACCCAGGTCCTCGCCGTTTGGTTACAACCGAGCAAGTGCCGAGCACAGACCTTTCGGAAAAGATGGAGCCGCATTGACCCAGCTTCATTTGCAACACATCTGCTGCGTTGGTCCCAACCTATCCAGTACAGACGGCCCGAGTTGCAGTGGTGCTAATCATCATCCAGACGGCTCTACACCGCTCTGGATTGTTGCTCAACTATCCCAACATTTCAAGGCGTCATTGCTGTTCTTCGCTGACCACTGGTGGGACCGGTACCACTTGCTGATGCTATCAATAGCACGCCGTACCGTCTGCCTTTGCTTGAGAGAGTGAATGCGCAACTACGGGCTTGATTGTCCGAGCCCGAAATTGAGTTCATGTGGGGGCATTGCCAAAAAAAAAACTCATCGCGACATGCTGATTGGGCGCGAACTTGGCGCATCGCGCCATACCAGCCACCAAAAGTGCCGTCAGCGCTGATGTGTAGCAGTGGAATTCCGTGGTGATACGGGCGGCTTTGTCCGTGTGGCATCCATGTGGACTTCGGACCGGCGACGTTGCGACTTGTATCGGCCGTCGCTATCGTCCAAGCTCCGCGAGTCCCAGAGCGACGACCGGAATGAGACCGCGTCGCCGCGCTTTATTCGCGGCGTTTCGGAGGCGTTTCGCGATGCAGACAATGCCAAAACCAGCACCACCAAGCTGTGCACGTTCGCAAACCACACTCATGCCGCGCACCACAGTTGGGCCGAGGGTTGATGAGGAGTCAACTGGCACGGCGCCAGCTGACATTGAGCCACTTCACTTGCGTGCAGCCCGCGTGCGCCCGCGCATATTAGGTAACAATGAAGCCGTTCGCTCGGCTTGATTAGTGACCGATCACAAAAGCTACGTCGTGCAGATTGCCACACCGATGTGTGGTGCCCGAGGAGAAAGAGGGATGCACAGCGTCGTCACTCGCAACGCTGGCGGGGTCTCTCGCCATCGGTCGCCATCAGTCGCCATGGTTGCTGCGTTGAATGCAGCACAGCCTGCATGAATCGCATGCGTCGTCTTATTTGCGCACAATGGAGCGCGGTTCCGCACCAAACGTCCGCAAGCAGGTCTGGGTGGGTCGTTCCGAGCGGACAATGACGGCACCGTTCAAGGCAAGCGGTCCAGGCGCTCCGCAACTCTCCTGGAGCTCACGGATCGTCGCAGAGCTCGGACAATTGAACCCGGGTGGCGAATCGCCACCAAACGCAATAGTGCGCGGAGGGGCGCGGAGGGGCAAAGCCCCTGGAGTCATGCTTTATTTTTTTCGCACTCGCTGCGAGCCGTCGATGCGTGGCTACAGATGTGCAACCACCGGCGAGGGGCACGTGCGGTGGACACGACAGCCCTGTCCCTCCGGTTCGGATATTGCCCTCGGACCGTTGCTCCAGAGAGGGGCTGTGCGTAGGCTTCATCTCTGCTGCGCAGCGCTTCGTGCCCGGAACCTTTCTCGTCAAATCCGCACAGCTCTCGACAGGAGCCAGACGGAAAAGTACTAAAACGCGGCACGGCTCGAGCTTCCCCCCAAATCTCTGTAACCCCCTCACCATTCTCTTGCCCCCTTCAACCGGCCTGATCGTCATCAGCAGTCCGCTTGCTATCTGATTGGCGCTTCATCGCTCCCACTTTTCCCTACCTCCCGTCGGCGTCTGCGCAGCAGTTGCGCCCACATCGTTTTCCATCGGCAGAGTGGCGCTGCGGGCCGATTGGGTTCCGGTACTCGCGTTTCGTTTCTGCCATCGACGTAGAGCTGAACGAAGCGTCGCTCAGATATCGGTGCCCCGGCCATGTCCATGCTGACTGCACGCGCCATGATGCAGCACCACGAAGCGCATCACCTTGTCACTCTGGACTCGAACCACGTCGCTTGTCTTCCACCTCATTTTGCTTCTTCCGCGGCCGCCTCGTCCTCGATGATTCCCGACTGGCCGACGTCGATTGCGCCGCCATCGTGCAATCCGAACGTCACCTTCTCGCTCGACGTGCCGCCTCCAGCAAGTCTACCCGGTGCCGGGATCGCAGGCGACATGCGCGTCGGCTACGCGACGCGATCAGCCACAGGCGCTCTGCAGCGCAGCATGTCGGGCGCAGAAGCTCCGCTGGTCAACTCGGCCATGTTCGGCCACTCTACGCTCGGAGGCAACGGTAGTGCCGTGCGCAAGAAGCGTCGAAGGTACGGGCCCAAGCCCGAGCCGCCGTACAAGTGCTTCTGCGGCAAGACGTTCAAGCGCCACGAGCACATGCTGCGCCACCGCGCCACGCACGACGAGAGCATCAAGTACGAATGCCACATCTGCGGCAAGTGGTTCCGTCGCCAGGACGTGATGCATCGCCACACCATGACCCACACCACGCGCAACCGGCTGCACAGCAAGATGCGCACCACCGCCTCGGCCGAATCATCGTCGTCATCGTCGTCCAGCCTTACGACACTGTCGGCGGTGGAGGCGAGCAAGTCGGCCAAGGAAGCAGGCGACAGCAGGGCGGAGAGTCGGGAGCAGGATCACCTCGGCTGTGCACGCATGGGAGCGGAGCACGATGTGCTTGAAGACCCAACGCTACGCGTTGGATTGACCGACTATCCGGTTTCGCCGACTTCGGTCTCTTATAACGAGGACCATCATATCGCAGCTGCCCAGCTGTACAATGCCTGCAACCCGACTCGCTACATCTATCCGTCCTATTCGAGCGAGGTGCAGCCGGGCCATGCATTCGCGCTCGGTCCAACCGTATACGATCGAGCGGGCAACCAGCTGGTGATGGCACCGGACCATCACCGGGGAGCCTCGTCTGTGTCGCCGCCGCCGAGCTTCTTCGCCTCGTCTGCGGCTTACCCTACGGTGGCGTTTGACTCCAGCAACTACCCACGGCTGGGCTTGACAAGCGTTCACTACGGTGGCTACGACGTCAAGGCTGGGCCGTACGCGATTTCGAATGGGATGGGCCTGCCGACGGGGTACGGACTTGGTCCTGCTTCGTCGCACGTGGGAGTGTCCGAGTCCGAGTGGAGCGAGCCGAGTCCGTCGGGGCCAAGCACGCACAGCTTCGCCTCGCCTGCGTGGAGCCAGAGGGCGGAGCTGATGAAGCGTGACGGCCCGGACTCAGCCATGGGTACACCTTCGTCGCTATCGCGGCCCTTGATGGTGGCGGCAGGAGCCCGATGGCGCGAGCACCCGCCACACCCGCCACAGGGATCGCCCTTGCTCGCAGATGGACAGCATGTGTACCGCAGTCCGGCACCAGAGGCTCGACGACGCCCATCCACTGCACTTGGCCACAGCCACGCTGACGAGGGGGGCGAGAGCCGAGTCAAGACGAGCCTCTCGGATCGACCCACTGGTTCGCTAGGCATCTTTGCTGCTCCTAGCTTTGGAGAAGGTGTGTCTGAAAGCGAGCGATTCGGCGCAGTGCAGTTCTCGTCGCCGCAGCCTCCAAACGGAGCACTCGCCGTTGCGCCGCTCGGCATGGGAATGTCGGATGTGGCCAGGGGGCAAGCTGGTGCTCAGGAAGGCGAGCACGGCGGTGCATCCATGTTGTGCGTGCCCGAGCCGCTGGACTCTGGATCCCCACTGACCGAGGCGACTGGCCAGGCATCGCCACGAAGCATGTCGTATGGCAAGAGGCCGAGACGTGCAGAGTCAGACGAGTAGCCACAGCCGGTCTATTCATAGCGGTTCGATCTGAGGGCGGGTGCCCCCCGACCTCCCTCTGTCAGAATCAGCATCATTTAGATCGACGTAGAAGCACATTTCTCAGCCTAGACTTATGATCATGGACAAACGCCTTGGTGATTGAGCTCGAGAGAGTGTGACGTGACGTGGCGTGGCGTGTGATGAAGGAGGTGCTCGACGACGTGACCGAGTGATGAAGTGAAAAAGGTGAGTGTGACGCGTGGAAAGCACGCGTTGCTTTTTGGGCAGTTGGCAGGTGTTGGTCTCGCTTGGACCGGCGGAATTCCAGTGTGTGTGGGGGGTGGACCTGCCGGCTAAAAAGAGACAGGGGCTTCTGCTTGCAAATCGCGCAGTCCCGGCGAAATTCACACGGAGAGCAACAACACACGACAACGCAGGACAGCGAGGGCGGCTCAACGCAGCTCAGCGCAGCATGATGGACCCTGAATCCTGCTTTCGGCAGGGCCGAGGAGAGCGGCATGCTCTCCACCACGCCAAGCTCCACACCCATTCGGCGTCAAGCCGACAGAGCTGCTCACTCTCGCTCTCGCTTCTCTCTACTGTCACATCGGCCAGAATCCGATCCTTTCGCATCGTCGACCAGCATCCTTGACGGCGTCGGTGTCGGCAGCTCTACTCAACCATGCCCGCCGATCCATCGCCCACCGGCTCCGTCCGCTCCATCGCCTCGAGCCGATCAGGAACCCTCTCGCGACCGCCGCCTCCGCCCAAACCCTCGCATCTCTCCTCAGCCTTCACGGGCACCTGCAACTCGATCGCCCTCCGCCACTACATCCAGGAACACACCACAGGCGGCTCGGGCACAATCAGCAAGGCCCATCTCGGTCATGGCTACGACACTTCGACCGTAGATCACTTTGTCGACGCCTTCGACTCGGCCAGCGACGATGATGATGGCAACCACGACATCGCTGCTAGGCCCACCGTTCGCGGCAGAACATACACCGCTCCCTCTGTCAGCCGCATCTTTGATCAGAGCACCGACGACAACGACACCTTTGACACCGCACGCCTCGTCCGAAATGAACCTATTTCCATCACCGGTGCAGGCCCTTCTCGCGTCGGCAACTTGCGCAACCTCTTCGAAGCGGCCGCGCCTACACCGTCCGCATTTGTGCCGCTGTCTAGGCAGAATACGGGCGTGAAGGCAAATCACACCGGTACAAAGCCAAAGATCAGCAGCCACGTTCGCATGCTCCAGGCACAGATCACCGGCGACAGATTCAACGGCATGGCAGGCGCTTTCCACGTCGCAGATGCGCGCTCTTCCATCATCCTCGAGACAGCCGCCAACCACAAGCAGGAAGCGACCGAACAGAGTCAAGATGATTACGACATCTATCGCACCGCCACCCAGGACCTCCTCGGCGACGCACTCAAGATGGATGCAGTCGTCATGCCCCCGCTCTCCGACACCATCTGTGTGGCACAGCCCAAACCCAGCAGCTCCTCACAAGCTCATGCCACAGTTTCTCGTTCAACATCGCTCAACTGCGATCCTTCCGCGCAGCATGACCGCACCGAGAGCTCGGCGACCATTCGGCCAAGCTACGCAAGCAAAGCCCCCGCTTCTCCCTCCAAGCCTCAAGTTGGCAGCCCCTCTGACCCGTCGGAAGTCGTTCCCAGCACCATTCGTGTCCGCCCAGCTCGACAGGCCAACGGAGCAGCCAAGCAAGGCCATCTGAGCTCCATCTTCACCGCAAGCCCGACATCGTCCCACCGCGGCGACGACCACGTTGGCTCAAGCATCTCGCCTTCCCCGAGCGGCGTCTCCGTCGCCAGCAACTCCTCATCGCAACAGGACACGGAAGCTGAGAGATCCAGAGAACCATCCATGCTGCTAGCAGATGACCAAGACATTAGCTTCTCCCAGGTCAGTCAACACCTGCGTGCCAACGACGGCAGCTGCTTCGATCTCGACTGGGGCAACAACTCGAGCCCCTCAAAAGCGGCCTCGGTCCGACGTGCGCTGCTCAGCAGCCCAGCAGCACAGACGCCCCTCGAAGATGTCGACGAAGCAACAATCGATGTCAATCCCCGCCGCGAGCAGGAAAAGAACCCAGAAGTTGGCGAGGCACTGCCACAAGCCGACTCAGCTCGACCTCCTTCCATCCGCGTCCAAGACCAGCCCAGCTCCGACACGCCAACCGTCCAGCCTGAAGGACAATCTGAGCCTGAAGCCAGTGCGCTCAGTGCGCGACCGTCCTCAAAGCTGCAGCCACCACGTCCAGTCAGCACCCGCGGTCCACAATCGGGATTCGGCAGGCCCGCTCGCGCGCTCTACGACTTTGAGGGCGAGGTTGCTTTCAACGAGCTCGTCATCAAGGCAGGCCAGTCCTTCGAGATCCTCAGCGATCAGCTCGCAGGCGGATGGAGTCTCGGTCTCGTGTGGGATGCTGACGGCAATCCTACACGCGGGCTCATCCCGCAGGGATGGTACTGCTACATTCGAGATTTCACTCGGTCTCCTCCGCCAAGTGCCGGTGCCGCACCGCCTGCCACGCCTGATCTTGTCACCAAGAACGCCGACGCACAAGATGCCACCTTGCCACCAAGCGCATTCTTGGATGACAGGAGCGCTGACAACGTACTTGAAGAGACCGCTGCTTCAGTTCCACAGAAGATCGAGCAAGCAACAAGCCCATCCGGACCTGTCGATCGTGAACTCGCGCTGGAGAGCAACGAACCTCTCTCATCCGAGGTCGAGATCGCACACAAGTCGACGTCGCCGCAAAGCGCGCGCACATCAGCACCCGTGTCGGCGGATTCCAGCGGGCCCTCCTGCAGTCGTGAGTCTTCAAGGCCTCACACGCCCAACTCTGCTGACGCCGCCTTGGTTGATGCAGATCCGGCAGCTGTTTGGCAGACGTCCGAAGATGTCCATTCCAAGCTTGTCACAGAGGTCGAGAGCTCGACATCTATTCCAGCCGTGAATCCCACGGCCATCGATGGACTGCCCGCCCCGTCCGACCCGGACCATCCAATCGACTGGTCCGCTATGGCCGAATCGCAGGTATGGGCCGAAGAAGAACGAATCTCTCCAGAGCACGATGGGCGCCCGGCAGTTTCTAGCCCGGCAGCTACTCCTGCACTCGAGACCACCGATCCCAGCGCTTCTGCCGGCTCCGACTGGACGGGCAGCATCTTTGGCAAAAAGACGTTCAATCGCTTCGTTAGCTTTGTCACCAGCGGCGCCGAGGACTTCGTGCTGTCCAGCTCCGACGCTGGTGAGGAGGAGCGCTCTCGGATCATGGTCCGAAAGGTCTCAGGTAGCAAGTCGACCTCTGGGGTCGCAGCTCTCGCCCAAGTTGCGGAGGAGCCGGAGGGCGCGGCAGACCTGCCTGCTGGCTTGGAGACCAAGTCATACGAGTCCACGCCTGCCCTTCAAGCTCAGGGTGGCGCGGTGAAAAGCGATCAGAGCCAACACTTTGTCATCGCGGGCGCCGCTGGCCCAAAGTGGAAGAGCCAGCTTCCGTGTTTCCTGGTCCAAGTTCACCATCCCGAGAAGCGCACCAGGCTCAATGGAATGCAAGAGTACACGGTGTACCACGTCACCAGCACGTATCCGATCGACGCTCCAGACGGCGTGTCAGGCGAGCAGATGGACTCGGCGGCACAGGCCACTGGCACCGTACCCTACGACCCGCTCGGGGGCCCGTATCCGCCAGGAGCTCAAGTCACCGTTGTACGCCGCTTCACCCAGTTCGAGTGGCTGCGCCTGGTCCTGACCAGGCACTACTCTGCGCTGCTCATCCCTCCCTTGCCCGAGAAGCAGTACTCGGGCCGCTTCGCTTCCGACTTTATCGAGACACGCCGCGCCGACCTCGAGATGTGGATCTCGCGTCTGGTCCGACATCCGGTGCTGCGTTATTCCGAGCCCATTCGATTCTTCCTCAGCTGCGAGAACGAGAACGAGTGGCGAAGCAAGGCCGCAATTCTTCTTCACGATGGAGCATCCGAGGGCGTTTCCAAGGGCGGCGTGTTTGACAACACGTGGCATCCAGACTTCAACTTTGACGCCGGCGAGGCCGAGGTGGAAGCCGAGCGTATGGACGCTTTCCTCAAGGCGCTCGAAAAGACCATCAACGGAGTCGGCGGGCACAATGCAGGCAGGCAAGGTGTGCTTGCTGCCTACAAGGGTCACCGCGAAGGCAACGTCGCCATCTCATCGACGTACCGTGATCTCTCGTACACTCTGCTGCGAACGTTGACAGGCGCAGGGGCGGGCCCGGCGGACGAAGGATCGACGAGTGCAGCGCTGTTGGATGAAGACGCACATCGTATCCACGGCCCGCCGATGGGCAACGTGGGTCGTCGAAGCGAGACGGGGGCTACCAACGAGCACGGCGCGTGGTGCTGGAGGGAAGACTGCCAGGACTGCCTCAACCTCACGAGCGCGCTGCAGAACACGGCCGAGTGTCTGCAGAGCGTGGCAGACATTTACGAGCACCATGCACGAGATGCGCTGCTGCGCCAGCACGAGCGGTACAAGGAACTTTCGCGCCCGCACACCATGGCGCAGGCGCTGCTCGACACGCATCGAACCACGCTCGCCAAGTACCGCGAGGCGACTGGCGAGGCGGAGCCCTGGGGCGATGATGCCGAGCTGGACGACGCTGTGCCAAGCAACGGTGCACACTTGCCGAGGGAGGACGCGGAGCAGCTGGCGGCGCGGTGCGAGACGGTGGTCAACGTGACCATGAGCGAGATGGATCGGGTGCACGACGAGCGGGTGCAGGACTTCCATGCGCTTGGACGCAGCTTACTTGACGGCGAGATTGAGCTGTACGAGGGGATCCTCGAGCAGCTCAAAGCGGCGCGCCTGCACTACGACGAGGAGTACTACGAGCGCGAGTCCGACTTCCACGTACTGGCGAGTAGGTATCAGCCGGAGCTGTCTAGGCCCAAGAAGCCTGCGGCGCCGCTGCTCATGCCGAGTGCGGCGCACGGTCCGCCTGGCGGGCTCGGGCGCGCAGCGGGCGGTGTTGGTCTGCTGCTGAGCCAAGCGACCGGCGCAGGAGTGACACGCCCTGCGAGCATCGGCGTGGAGTGTAGCGATCGATCGCCGCTCGCGTCGCCGCGTCGAGGTGAGCTCGGCCTGTCTCGAGCGGACCTCGACTCCGGCGCGGGAAGGACAACGGGCGGTGGGCTCTTGAGCACGCTGCTCGTTCCGTCGGTGCTTCGCGGCCGGACTGCAGGCGACGGTGAAAGCAAGCCGACGCATCTGGCTGATACGACCAACGTCCAGCCCAGCCACGCAGATGCGGCACTCAAGGCGCTCGCGCGCAAACACGCGGCGCCGCCCGCACACGACGCCTCTCGCTCCTCGTCGTACTTTTCCGCCATATGGAGGTAGTGAGGCGTGCAATTCCAGCATGATGTTCGTTCGGCAATGAGAACGTGTGATTTCAATAAGCGTTCGGGCGAGCTCACGCTGGTATTTGCGTTCGGGCAGAGGCATCATTCTTTCCTGATGGAAATGTCTTACACGAGCGGGGGAAATGGGGGCACTAAATCCGAGCCGTGAGGGTGATGGAACTAGGCGTCGCTCTGCCATACGATGATGTGGCTGATATCGGCGGCGTACTGGGTGGGATCGTTTGCGGGTGCGCCGAAAGTGACGGCGTTATTTCCGGCCTGGAGGGACAACTTGACGGGGGTGTCCTGGAGGGTGTTTGCTGGGTTGCCACCGGTGGGGTAAGTGATATTGTTGGTCTTGCCATTCACGGTGACCGAGCCGAATCTCCAGTCGGGGTAGGAGTTTTGGTTCGAATAGTAGACGCTAACCCACACGTCTCCGGCATTGCCACTGGGTGTCGTGACATCATTGAGCGTGAAGGTGTTACCGTTTCCGACGTAGGTGGCGATTTTACCGGACGGGCAAGCGGCGCAATCACCAAACGCCGCCTGGGATCCCGTCTTTGTTGCTGTGCTCGGGCTGAGGGGAAAAGTCTTGTTTGCCGGAACGGCATAGCCTTGCGCGGAAGAATCAGGCCTCCAGAGCGGAAGATGCACGAGACTGCGCGATACAATAGGGTACCACACGTACGAACTCTGTTCCAGATCCGTCACCCACCATCTATCGCCGAGATACACATCGAGGTTGTCGTTCGGCTGGATCTCGAAGGTGTTTTGCGAGTTGTACGTATTCACCCCCTGAGGCGCAATGTAGTTCGAATAGGTCAGGTTGACTTTTCCCAGATCGCTGGTCGTATAGAGTGAGTTGGCATTGGGTTGCCAACCACTCTGGTTGGAAACGACCATGTTGTACAGCCCTGCGTCGTCTCTGAACACTCCAAAGCCTTCGAGTCTCGAGTGGATGGTCTGCGTGAGAGTCGTGACGTTCTTGTAGTCCGATGTCATCTTGGCCACCGCGGTATCGGCATTTCCATTCGTGGCGAACAGCAGGTAGCCTTGGTCATTGACCGGATCGACGTAGACATTCATGTCTCGACTTTCCATACCCAGGGGACTAAAGACCCCCTCTTGAGGGCAGGTGTAGGGTCCCGTAACGGAGCTGGCATAGCACACTCCCACCTTGGCGAGCGAATAGTTGGAGCTGTCCGCATGGAACCACAGTACATACTCGCCCGTCGTCGGGTTCTTGATGAGTTTCGGTCGCTCGCCCACCTGGAAAGGCAGCGACGACGAAGGCGGCACCACCAGGCCGTGCGAGTCCCAGTTGACCAGGTCCGAGGAAGAGTACAGCGAAAAGCCCTGGAATCCGTTGCCCGAGTTCTTGTACTCGCCTACCCAGTACCACTTGCCGT